AAATAGTCTTCAGAATAGACTTCCCTTCAACGAATATAAGAATAAACTTCAGCCGATAAACCTTATAGAATAAACATCACCTAAATAACCTTCAGAATAGACTTCCTTCAATAATTTCAGAAAAACTTCACCCGAATAAACTAGAATAAACTTGACCTTTATCTGACCTTAAGACACTGAAAACTGAAACCTTCGACCCTTTCATTTCCTCCTAAGAAAATCAGAGGCCAAAATATCCTGCAAGGTACACTTTCAAGGAGGGGAGGAGGAGGAAGAGGAAGGGGGGGAGGAGGAGGAGGAGGAGGAGAAGGAGTGGAGGAGGAGGAAGAGGAGGAGGAGGGGGTGGAGGAGGAGGAGGAGGAGGAGGAGGAGGAGGTGAGAGGAGGAGGTGGAGGAAGAAGAGGAGGGGGAGGAGGAAGGAGGAGGAGGAGGAGAGGAGGAGGGAGAGGGAGGAGGAGGAGGAGGAGGAGGAGGAGGGAGAGGAGGAAGAATTATTATGATGATGGTAATGATAAGGATGGGAGCTTGAGAGGAGGGGTAAGGGGAGGGTGGAGGGGAACGACGCGGGAAGGAGGAAGTAGGAGGAAGTAGGAGAAGATTATTGGGAAAAGGAGGAAGAGGAGAAGGAAGAAGATCATTAGCAGCAGCAGAAGGAGTGAAAGGAAGAGGAGGGCGAGTAGAAGGAGAAAGAGGAGGAGGAGGAAAAGGAGGAGGAGGAGGAGAGGGAAGGTGAGTGGAGGAGGAGGAGGAGGCGAAGGTAAGTGGGGAGAGGAGGAGGAGGAGGGAGGGGGTAAGAGTAAAAGTTAAGGGAGGAGGAGGGGAAGAGATCGATGAGAAAAAAAAAAAGAAAAAATGATAATACAAAGAAACAGAAGACAAGAAGGACCCGAAGGAAGTTCCTCCTCCTCCTCCTCCTCCTTCTCCTCCTATTCCTCCAAGGTCAGCGAGATAGCGAAGGACTCGATGTGTTGATAAGGAACAAATATAGGAATTCAATAACTCATTTCCCCGGGCAGAGGTGCCAGCCCGAACAGGTGTCCTCGGCTTTACCTTCTCTCACGGCCGCTGTGTGCGTGCGTCGTGGCGTGTGGTGTGTGTGTGTGTGTGTACCTGCGTCTCTCTCTCCTTCGTCTGTGTGCGTGTTGGTGAATGGGTATGTGTGTTGTGTGTGTGTGTGTGCACCTGCGTCTCTCTCCTTCGTCTGTGTACGTGTTGGTGAATGGGTATGTGCGTTTGTGTGTGTTGTGTGTGCACCTGCGTCTCTCCTTCGTCTGTGTACGTGTTGGTAAGTGGGTATGTGTGTTTGTGTGTGCGTCGGTGGCGTGTGTGTGTGTGTACCTGCGTCTCTCCTTCGTCTGTGTACGTGTTGGTGAATGGCTATGTGAGTTTGTGTGTGCGTCGGTGGCGAGTGTGTGTGTGTGTGTGTACCTGCGTCTCTCCTTCGTCTGTGTACGTGTTGGTGAATGGGTATGTGTGTTTGTGCGTTCGTGGCGATGTGTGTGTGGATGTGTGCACCTGCGTCTCTCCTTCGTCTGTGTACGTGTTGGTGAATGGATATGTGCGTTTGTGTGTGTGTGTGTGCACCTGCGTCTCTCCTTCGTCTGTGTACGTGTTGGTGAATGGGGTATGTGCGTTTGTGTGTGCGTCGGTGGCGAGTGTGTGTGTGTGTGTGCACCTGCGTCTCTCCTTCGTCTGTGTACGTGTTGGTGAATGGGTATGGTGCGTTTGTGTGTGTGTGTGTGTGCCTGCGTCTCCTCCTTCGTCTGTGTACGTGTTGGTGAAGGTATGTGTGTTGTTGTGCGTTGTAGTGTGTGTGTGTGTGTACCAGCGTCTCCTTCGTCTGTGTCGTTGGTGAATGGGTATGGTGTGTGTTTGTGTGTGTGTGTGTGTTGTTATGTGTTGTATGTGATTGTGTTGTGTTGTGTGTGTTTGCTTGTGTGTGTGTTATGTTCGCGTGTGTGATTGTGTTGTGTTTGTTGTGTGTGTGTGTGTGTGTGTGTGTGTGTTGTGTTATGTTCGCGTGTGTGTGATTGTGTTGTGTTATGTCGCGTGTGTGTGATTGTGTTTGTGTTATGTTCGTGTGTGTGTGTGATTGTGCTGTGTTGTGTGTGTATTTGTGTTGTGTGTGTGTGGCGCGTCTCGGGACCGTGTGCGTCTCTGTGCACGCTTGTGTAAGTGTATTAGAATTAAGTGTATTAGATCCTCTCCAACGTACGTGAATCAAAGTACAGCTTTTATATCAGTGTGTGTACGTGAATTCAGAACATCATCCTCCTCACGTCCATCAATCTTACGTACTTGTTCATCTCTTCTCTGAACATATTCTTCAGTATGATCTCTTCTCTAACATATCCTCGCGCGTGTATGCCTATACATATAAACACAGAGTCACTCCCAGTCAATAAAGTCATGTAATAACCATCAAACAGTTTACATCAATCACGGACTCATATTTCAGGTCCGTGTCTCCTTCCCCATGCTCATTTCTCGTAACACGGAC